TGTTTTTTATGGACTGTACCTTCGGTGTCCTGTCTAAGAAATATTTGCCTAACCTAAGGTCACAAAGATTTTCTACTTTTTCTTCTAGAAGTTTTATAGCTTTAGGTTTCATATTTAGGTCTATGATACATTTTGACTTAAAATTTTATAGAGTTGACCCTTGAACAACACTGGTTTGAACTGCACAGGTCCACTTATACGTGGATTTTTTTCGGTAAATACATTCGATAGTACTACATGATCGGTGGCTGGTTGACTCTGTAAATGCAGAAACGTGACTATGGAGGGCTGACTACAAAATTACACACAGATTTTCAACAGCATAGAGGGTCAGCACACCTAACCTCTGCATCGTTCAAGGGTCAACTGTGTATGGTCTGACTTAATTTTTGTAATAAGGGTCAAAGATAGTTTTGGGGTTTTATGGGGTTTTTTGTTTGTTTTTTGCATATGACTACTCAATTGTTCCAGCACATTTGTTGAAAAGATTATCCTTTCTCTACTGAATTCCCATGGCATCTTCGCCAAAAATCAGTTAACCAAATATGTCTAGACTGATTTCTGAACTCTGTATTATGTTTGATTGATCTAATGGCCTATCTTCATAACAATACTAGAATATCTTGCTTATGGTAGCTTTATAATGTTTTAAAATTAGATAGTGTAAGCCCCCTAATTTTGTTGATTCAAAATAGTTTTGGCCATTTTGTATCTTTTGCATTTTAATATACATTTTAGAATTGGCTCGCAAAATTCTAATGCTTTATTTTGTTTTTGAGACTTCATTGGATTTTCTAGGCAGATAAGCATGCTATCTGCCATAAAAGGCAGCATTACTTATTGTTTTCCAATTTAGATGGTTTTCTTTCTTTTTCATGTCTTGTTGCAATGGCTAGAAGCTCCTGTACAATGCTGAATAGAAGTGGTAAGAGCAGACATTCATGCCTTGTTAATATTAGAGGGGAAATATTGAGTCATTCACAATTAAGTATGATGCTAACTGTGTTATAGATGCTCTTTATTAGAAAATTCCCTTCTACTCCTAGTTTGGAGAAATTCCCTCCTATTCCCAGTTTGCTGAGAGTAATGAAAAATGGATGGTTAGCTATTGTCAAATGCTTTTCCTGGTTCACTTGAGGTGATCATATCTTTTTTCTTTTTTAGTGAGTTAATATGATGAATTACATTGATTGATTTTCCGTTGTTAAACCAACCTTGAATTCCTGGGATAAACCCCACTTGGTCATGATGTATCATCCTTTTTTATGTATTATGTTCACTTTGCTAACATTTTGTTTAAAATTTTTTGTCTCTATGTTCAGGAGGCATGTTGGACTTTAGTTTTCTTTTCTTGTAATTTCTTTGCCTGATTCTGGTATCAGGAAAATACTGACCTGATACAATTAGATGGGAAGTTTCCCCTCCTCTTTAACTTTCTGAAAGTGTATACAGAATTGGTGTTATGTCTTCTTTAGATGTTTGGTGGATCTCACCAGTGAACCCAGCTGGTCCTAGAGTTTTGTTTGTGGGAAGGCTTTTAACTAAAAATTCCATTTCTTTAATAAATACAGTGCTACTCAGATTATCTAGTCCTTCTTGCACGAGCTTTGTTAATTTGTATCTTTTGAAGAATTTGTCCATTTCATCTAAATTGTCAAAGTTATTGGAATAAAGTTGTTTATAATAGTCAGTGATTACACTTTTCATTTCTGAAGTATCTATGGTGATGATCTCTCTCTTATTCCTGATAGTCCTGTGTTGCTTTTTTTTTTTTTTTCATTCTGTTTGGCTAGAGGTTTATCAATTTTATTGATTTTTCTCAAAGAACCAGCTTTTGGTTTTATTTTCTCTTGTTTTAAATTTTTATTTCATTGATTTCTGACATTATCCTTATTACTTCCTCTTTTCCTACTTACTTTGGGTTTAATTTGCTTTTTTCTGGTTTCTTAAGGTGGAAGGTAAAATCATTGATTTGAGAATTTTCTTCTATTTTAATATAGGCAACTATTGTTATAAATTTTCCTCTAGGATTGTCTAATCTGTATCTAATAAATTTTAATGTATTGTGTTTTCATTTTCATTCAGGCCAATATATTTCTAATTTATTATTACTTTTTTTAATTAGAAGAATGTTGTTTAGTTTCCAGATATTTGGAGATTTTCCAGATATGTTATTGATTTCTAATTTTCTTCTTCTTTTGCCAGAGAACATACTTTCGTATGGTTTGAACCCTTTATTTATTATGACTTGCTTTGCATCCCAGAATATGGTCTCCATTGGAAATGCTCTGAATGCACATGAAAACAATGTGTGTAGTGCTGATATTGGGTGGAGTGCTCTATCAAGGTCAATTAAGTCAAGATGGTTGATAGTGTTTTTCAAGTCTTCTAAATACTTACTGATTTTCTGTCTACATGTTTTAACAATTATTGAAGGTGTTGAAAATCCAACTGTATTTGTGAGTTGGTTATTTTCCACTGTAGTTCTATCAGCCTTTCCTCACATATTTAGAAGTTGTTATGCATATATTTAGGATTGTAATTTCCTCTTGTTGAACTGACCTCTTTATCATTATAGACAACCATCTTAATCCTTAATCTTGGTAATATTCTCAAGCTCTCAAGCAAAATCTACTTTATTGACTACTACTATAGTACACCTGCTTTCTTTAACTTATTGTTATTGTATCTTTCTCTATACTTTAAGCCTAGTGTCTTTATACCTAAAGTGGGTTTTGAGAAAATAGCATACAGTTGGGCCTTGCCTTCTTTTATTCAATGTGACAATCTCTGCCTTTTTATTGGGTGTTTAGACCATTTACAATCAATGTGATTATTGATATGGTTGAGCTTACATCTATTATCTTGCTATTTGTCTTCTTCTTTGTTCCCTTGTCCTTCCTTTTTCTTCCTCCTTTTGGATAAACTGAATACTTACTGATGATTCCACTGTATTTTGTTGTTGCATTATTAGCTAGAACACTTTTGGGGGGTGAGGAGAATTACCTTAGGGCTTATACATCTTTAACTTATCATAGTTTTCCTTCAAGTAATATTATACCACTTCATGTATAGCATGAAAATATTACCATACTATACTTCCATTTTCCCCTTCCTAAACTTTGTGTAATTGTTGTATGTTTTATTTTTAAATGTGTTATAAACTCCACGATAAATGGGTACTATTACTGTCTTCAGCAATTATCTTTTCAATAGATTTAATAACAAAAAAAGAGAGCTTTAGTATTTAGCCACATATTTACCATATTTTCACACAGTATTATTTTATATGTTTGAAAGACTTTTAAAAACATTTCTTGTAATGCAGGTCTACTGGTGATGTATTTATTCAGCTTTTGGATGTTTGGAAAAGTCTTTATTTTGCCTTTGTTGTTTGAAAAGATATTTTCACTGCATATAGAATTCTAGGTTGACAGGTTTTAGTCTATCTTGTTCCTTTTACTATATTAAAGATGTTGCTCCACTGTCTTCTGGTTCCCATGGTTTTCAATGAGAAGTTTCCTGTCATTTTTATTTGAGCTCCTTTGTATGTGACATGTCCTTTTCCCCTATCTGGATGTGCTAAGATATTTTTTTTTAATCACTGGCTTAAAGCAATTTGATTTAAGATGTGCCTTGGTGTGATCCTTTTCATGTTTCTTGTCCTTGGAGTTCATTGAACTTCTTGGACCTGTGGGTTTGTAATTTTCATCAAATTTGAAGAACTGTTGGCCCCTGTCTCCAAATGACCTGAAGAAATATGAAAATACAAAATATTTTTTTCTTTTCCCCTTCCACCCTCACACCCATCTCTTCTCCCTTGAGGACTCCAACTGTACATACATCAGACTGCTTGAAGTTGATTCATAGCTCACTAAAGCTCTGTCCACTTTTTTTCCAGTCATATTTCACTCTAAATAATTTGAGATAGTTTCTCCTGCTATGTTTTCAAGTTTTAAAATCTTTTCTTTTGCTGTCTAATCTACTGTTAATCTCACCCAGTGTGGGGTTTTGTTTTTTAAAATCTCAGACATTGCATATTTTCATCTCTTATATTTTCTGGTCCTTTTTATATCTTCTATAGCTCTAATTAACATGCTCAATCTTGCCTCTACTTCCGGACCACTACCTTCTTGATACATGGCATATAGTTACAATGTTCTTTTGTACAAATAATATTTCTATAATTTGTGTCATTTCTGGATCTCTTTTTTCTCCTTCACTTATGGGTTTTGTAAGTTCTGGCTTTTTGCATGCCTGACAATTCTTTTTTATTGGATGCCAAACATTTTGAGTCTTTACCTTGTTGCATATGCAAAATATTTGTATCCCTATATTCTTGTACTTTGTTCTAGGAGACAGTTACACAGAAACTGTTTTAGAAACCAGAAACTTTGGAGCTTTTAGTCCAGGGTTAATGTTGCTCTCCTACTGAGGTAATACTTTTCTGACTTTCCTATCTAGTGCCCTTTGAGAATTACAAAGCTTTCCACTCTGGCAAGCAAGAACACAAACTATTAACCGCTTTGTGTGAACGTCAGTGATTATTCCCTCCACTCCTTTCAGGTGGTTCTTCCTCCAGCCTCAGTAGCTTCGTCCCACGCAAACAGAAGTACTCAGCTGAAGTCTCAAGGGGACCCTCTCTATATCTTTATGCCTTCTTTCTGTGCAGCTCGCTCCTCTCTTGTACTCTACCCTAGGAGCTTCAACCACTTTGGCCTCTTTGGACTCCCAGGTCTGTTTCCTCAGCTCAGGGAGACCTCTGGGCTCTGCTGTGGTGCTCCCTTCCTGAGCTGCAATCTGGAATCTCTCTCCAAGCATCAGCTAGGGCCATCACAGGACTCAATTCATTTGTTTTCCTTCTCTCGGGGATCACTGCCCTGCACTGCTTGATGGCCAGTGTCTGAAAACTGCTGTTTTATATACATTATCAGGTCTTTTAGTTTTTTTGAGTGAGATAATATTTCCAGCTTCTGTTCTGAAAGTAAATGTCAAAACCATTTTTGGAGGCAAGATCTTTATTACGATGTTATATGATTACTTTTAACAGAGGGGAGTGAAGATACCACCTCTTGGGAGGTACGGTTATGTTCTGAGAAAAACAAAACAAAACTTAAACTTTCAACTCTGGAAGATCTGAGCTCAAATTCCAGTACTGCCACTTTGGGCAAATTACCAGTTCTTTCACTGGTAAAACAGAACTAATAATATCTATCTATTATTAGGTGGTGAGGTTTGCATGAGATGTAAACAATCTGCTATATATCAGAGGCACCTCATACATTTTAGTTGCCTTATTTTCCCCCTAAAAACATGAGTATCAGAGAAGCTATCTGTTAGGGCCCTGCCTGTACTGATAAGAGTGATTTCAAGCTTTTCCCTCTCAAATATCCTCTCTGTGATAGGGAAAAAGTAATCGTAATAGGCTATTGAAAAGCCAGACGCAAAGTGTAATTCTAGGAAACTGCCTGTGAATTTTTACCCTGTAAAATTAGTGGGAAGGAAGAGCCTTGAGTCCTGCCCTGTCTAACTCTGGTTCGGATTTGGCGTTTTCAAGTGTGGAACAATCCAGAATTCCAGCTCTGTCAGGAAAAAGCAGACAAATGAAACAGATGACAAATCATTTCTCTAAGACCTGAAGCCAAACTGGCTCCAATAGCTGCTGGAATGGTAATAGAAGACAATTTCCTGGAGTATTTACAAAATCATTCGTAAGGGTAATATTTTCCAGACTTTTACAGGAGGACTAAGGGTAGCTTTTTAGTCTGCAGACTCCACAGAGGTAGCATATATTCAACAGGCAGCTGCTGGGACCACCCCCTCCCACTCTAACTCCTCCCTATAATCCCCGTATAGAGGCCTGATTTAGGCACCGAGATGGGGATAAGCCGTGGGTTCTGCCCTTCAAATATACGCCAGAATATAAAGGAGCAACAGGTGAGTACACAGCTAATCGAAAATGGAATGCGCTCTATGTGCAGTGTTAGCAAAGTGCTTCAGAGAGACAGGGATAAAAGATCAGCCCAACTTTCAAAGAGGAGGAGACTGAATATTTCAGAACACAGGCAGAAGTGGAGTAGGGGAGGAAAAGGGAACATTCTAAGTCAAGGGAGGGAGGCATACCCTGGGAAATGAATCTGAGGCCTGATCTATATAGGATTGGAATGTGTCAATTAGAAATGTTTTCAACTGCAAAGTAACAGAATCCTTGCCTAGTACAGCCTTAAGACATGGAGGTCTGTTTGCTCAAAATGCTCAGAGGTATGTGGTTACTGGCATCGATTCGGTGGCTCGAATGGCATCTGGGAGGCAGGTTCTTTCCATTTTTCAGCTGTGACACCTTTAACGTGGTGGGTTTTCATCTTTTTACTTTTTACCTCATGTTTGCAAGACCGCTGCCACAGATCCAGATGCCATTAACTAGTGTTATGAACGAGAAAACAAAAGGAGTTGAAAAGAGCTTTCCTTTAATCAGGCAAGAAAAAAATTTCCTGAGAGTTTCCCAGATTTTCCACTACATCTTATTGGCCCAGACTGGGTCATATGACCATCTTCAGAGGAAAGGTCGGAAAAGTATCTGGATAAGAAGGAGTAACATGAAAGGCCTAGAAAAATCATGATCCATCCCCTGGGGCCGGGCATATTGCCGCCTTAAACAAAGTAAGTGTTCTCGGCAAGGAAGAAGGATTAAACAATCATTAGATGAGCAATTAACAATAACTACAATCCCATTTTTGAACTTGAATCCAAGTTCTAGTGAAACAAGAGTTCTAATGGAGGAAAAAAAAAAAAAAAGCCCAGATGATTCAAGTATACCTCTAGTTTTATAGATTTATTCTGCCCTCTTTGGTCTTAGGAGAACCTTACTGCTTTTCCTGAGAATGACAGCCTTCCCCAAACTGCAGACTCAGATTTAGATGCAACTGAATTCCTTCCTGTGGTTTTGCAGATTCGACTATATTACAAATTAAATTTCAAAAAGAGGAAGTTACAATTTTTATTCATATAAAACCTCCCTTAATACTTTTAACACATTTCCCACTTAACTGCTGCCTTTCTTAAGCATCACAAGGCCATTCATTCATTCATGCCACAAACACCGAATACTTTGATGAAGCAAAGTACCTCGCTAGTTAACAGCTAGTTGGACCACTGGCCTCCAGTCAGGTTTATATTCAGAATAACGCTGCAGACCTGGCACCTACTTTAATAATTCTGAGAAAAAAACTCTTTCCTCCCCCTTCACACACTGCCTCTTCACCACGCCAAGTCTTGTAGGGTACAACGGTCACACAGGTCACTGGGACACGACTCTAAACACTCCCACTTTGAATGAATCCCTCTGGCTCCCTTCTGAGGGGAGAGGAGTGGAGAAGCTACCTCGTTTCCTTACAGACTCCACAACATTCCTTTAGACTCTTACCAGTCTCAACTTTCCCTAAAACAAACAGGAAAATAAGGACTTCATTTTTTCCCTGGAGAACTCAAACTGAAGAAATAAATGGCAAAGATGTGGTAGGAAAGCCCAGGCTTTCCTGGTGGTAAAGAAACAAATAGGAGGGAAGAGGTAAGACGTGAAATGTGTACTTACACTCTTCTCACGCACCCCTTGTGGCACCCCATCCTATAATGACCCACAACAGGATTACTTCATGCTTTAAACCTTTTCAGACCTTGGGTACCAATCTCTCTCCACAGTCACAGGGTCCTCTTGTGGGACCAAAATCACCCAGAAAAGAAAATTCATTTAAGGGGTTACTTGATAACTAAAATAGTTTAGTAGATACTGAGGAAACAGCCCTCAGAAATTGCCTGGTCCAAATTAAACGACAGAGGAAAGTAACATTCCTGGGGGACTGCAGTCAATATAGGTCCACAGGTCCACCTGTAGAAGCCTGAAGGGATGCTGAGACCGCTATGCCGTGTGCTAGGACCAGGGAACATCCTATTACCTGCAGTCTGGGGTTTTCTGACAGGGTCAGAATGCTTTGGCAGGGGTGGAGGCAGAGGATGGGCGGGGGCGGTGGGAGTACCTCAAACTGAACACAAGACCGAACAGGCAAGCTGCAGTGGCTTGTGAGCTGGAGAAGAAGTACGCCTCGCCTGAGACATCTGCTGTGGACCAGATGGTGCGTGCGTGTGTGCGTGTGTGCGTGTGTGTGATTACTGGGATTTTCAGGCCTGCAGAGGCTAAGGTTAAAGCCCAATGTATTATTTCACTTAGGGCACATTTGGATGAGGTAAAGGTGGAAAGAAAATAGAGAAAGCAACAGGAAATGAGTTCTTCCTCCTGTGTAGCCACGGCAAAAGTCAGGTGATGTTATGCTGTTGTTGAGAAAAGACTGACTGTCCTGGATTTAAAGGTCCCACATTACAGAGGTCCATCTCCTCCCGCATCTCTGCAGTTAACCTTCATTTCTTCCTGCCTAACAAGTGCAGAGCCATATCACAAGTCACCATCCTCAGAAAGTTCTACTCCATTTTCACGATCCTTCTAGGGGCCCCACCTAACCAGCTGTCACCCGAGGGAGCGATGGAGCACCCACATTCAAGGAGCATAGTTGGAACATAACACCAACCAGCAGAAGAAAGCCAAGAGGCACGGGGACGAGGAGTGCAGAGAGGTAACATGAGGCCAGACATGAAGATTCCAAGGCTGGGAAAGAGGAGAAAGGTGACAGCTGGGACTGAAGCATGAAAAGGGAGGGAGAGGCCACATCAAAGAGCAAGAAATCAGTTACCAGATATTAATTCTTTCCTCCAATTAAAAGTCACTCACTTTTCTCAATATAAAACAGCACATATTCTTATTCACCACAGCTGTAAGCTTCAGGCTACGCACTGTCCTGCTGCAGTCCTAGGACACGTGCTACGTCACGGTCAAGCTCCTGACCCAGAAATCACACATCAATGTCAGTCTCATTTCTTTGTAGTTACCCTTTCCCTAACTATGGAAGTTTTACAAAGTCACCTGAGGCTACAGCTTGAAACAGAAAACACAGCCTTAATCTTGAAGTTAAGGGAAGAGGGAAGTCCCTGGCTAGAGGGAAGTCCACACAGCCCCCGGGCCCCGGGGCACAGCTGACCTCACAGCCACCTCGGTGCCTACACTCGTTTCCTTGCCAACTCCACAGGAAGGAATTGCAGAGCCAGCTAACGCACCAGCAGGAAAGGGCTATGAAGAGGAGGCGCAGAGTTACGGCGACTGTAACAGTCTCCTGAGCTAGCCTTAGCCCAGCCCCACAGAAAACAGTTATTTCTTACTGTTTTTCTTAGGTCTTCTTCTTGGTCACTCGTTTTCAGCTACCTAAATCGTCTATCTGAAAATGAATACTGAAGAGATAAGCAGCGACAGGTCAAGGTGTTAGGGGAGATAAAGTGTATCAGATATGTTAACAAGATCACAGTTCAGACATGAATACTTTTCTCTTTGTGGAGCCAAAAAGCATCCGTGCAAGAAGATTCTGTCGCTCTGACAAATTACTTTCTACTTATACTAGTAAAAATAAATCACAGGGAGAACTCAAGGGCTCTAAGGGCTCGGTGACTTCTGATTCAAAGGCAGCAAAAACACCAGGCCACTGCTCCCAGTGGGCACGCCCCTCTGGCCCTGCAGCGAGGCCACTTGACCCCCACTGCTAGGAGGATGTGCCAGAGCAAGTGGACGAAGCTCCTTGAAGGTAAAGAAAACTGATTCTCCTTAACTAGACATTATCAGAGGACTTAGAAACTCAGGAATGTGATAACGTACAAGCAGAAACAATTTTGTCAGCATTAACAACTAAATCAATTGTTAGCCTAGACAAAATCTACAAGAAGATGAATACGCAAGCTCAACAAGAACACACTGTGTGACAACTGACCGAGTTGGGTTTCGTCATGAAAGACATGTTTGTTTGAGACAAAAGTAAATTCTAAAATCTAATAAGAGCAACGAGTAAGAAGATAAAATTCTAAACTAAATAACCACTGACTAAAGAAGAAATGAAAGCAAAAAATATACTAGGCATCAACTGAGAAACTACAATGTTTACAGATCAAGAAAAGTTACAGAAGAAATCATAGAATTTATTAAAAAAAAAAAAAAAGACAACCGAATCAAAAGGTTTTATTTCAGAAACGGGTAATAAAATGGACTAAACTATCTGATGAAAAATGGGTAAGAATCTAACAGAATTGAGACAATTTGTTATCATGCAACTTGTTTCTTCACTTGGTTGGTACTAACTGTAGGATTTTACTAATACAGGAAATAGTTAATCAATACAGGAAACAACCATAATCCTATTAAGCACCTCAATGCACTGTTTTTCAGTCTATATAAAGATGTAGGAAATACTAAGAGGGCATAATAAGTGTTTAATATAATCAGGTCTAGTGGAAGGAAACTTAACATAGACAGGATTTCTTCGGAGTATAAATGGACTAAAAAACATGTTTTGGAATGGACACATCTATTTGACTTTATTTATGATGCCAAGTTGCCAATCCATACCTGGTTAGTTAGAGGTAGAAACACATTCATTTTGATTGAAGTCAGGAATACAAACACAGTTTCTTCGTGTTTGCTCGATACTTTGCAATCCATCCCAATGAAATCAAATTGTCCTTTTCTATTCACCACTGCAAACTAGTTAACTGTTCATTCCAGCTATACATTCATTGTATGACTCTGCTTCATGATGGTTATTTCATTTCATACTTTCTATAAAATAAAAGATGGCTATACCTTGTGTTAAAAAAAATAAATCATAGGAATGCACCTTTTGACCAGGAAAATTTCACTAAACAATCTCATCGTACCTCAGTAGAATTTGTCTTTCAATTTCAGTCTTTTAATCTGAATGAAAACAATAACTTACGGATTAAAAAGTTTTCTGTTTAACTGATGGAAAAATATGATAAACATGATTTCTGAATAGAGAAAATGAGATGCAAGTAGCAGTGCTTTCTTCACTGCTATAATACTTCATTTTTAAAAGTAAACACAGTACTAATCATCATTTTGATTCCAGTGAATAAAAACTTAAAACTGAATTTATTAATCAGTTTGGAAGTCTGAAGCCAAAAGGATCCTTTAACAGTATTGCCTAATAGACAAGTCGACCCTAAAAAGCTAATCACACTGCAAAATTTTGGCCTAATTAAACTGGCTCTCGCTGATACTCTTTTTTTGTTTGGTTTCAATCTGCCATAACAACCAAGGTTAGAATTCCATGTAAACAGAAGTATACAAGGCTTGATGAAATTGAATATGGAGAATTAAGCATTTAAAAAGTCTGGGTTATAATTCTTATTGCTACACAAGTTCTACTGCATAATTAATTTACAGCAGCCTAAAACTTTTCAGCAACAAAATTATATTAAAAAAATATACCATTATCCCTATATGTTACATTAATTATAATGTAACATATCACAACCACTTAAGCCTTGCATTAACTTAGAAAAGAATAACTTGTCCCTGAAAAACTCTAAAGAGTGATCATATTTCAATCAAAGCTGTCCTGAACTAACTCATAATCAGCAGTGACTACATTTTGTCACTTCTTTGCTCTAACATGAGTAAAAGTGACGATAATGATTTTTTGGAAAGAGGCTAGAGAACCTGCATCCAATTATGAAGTGGACTTTTAAACCTCCACTGGATTTTTAGAATGTTTTTAGTTGTCAAACATCCGTATAGGTGAACCAGCTGAGGGAACAAACTGCCAAACTTGCCCAAACTACTTTTGTTCCATAGAATTTGATCCCTTCTAAATTGACAACAGCGTACAAACTTAGCTATGAAGAATTCAGCCCTTATAAATGAAGACAAACATAATAAACCTACAGGAGGTTTAAAAGTAACTTCATTTGTTTTTGAATATTCAAGTGTAATGCTTCTGTAAAAGATTAAAACATATGTTTCAACTTTATCAGATACGTCAATTTCCATTTGCTCCTAACCTGTCACTAATACATAGGTTCACTGGCTGCCGAAGAACCCAACTAATCATGGAGAGAGATGAAGGTATCAGTGGAAAAAGAGCACGGATACCACGGCATTTATCCCAACAGTATGATACCCGTCTTTGCATCCCTGAAGTTAAGAATGGCCACTTTCTCCAATTAATTTGCTCTCTACTAAATAAAGCAGCACTGTCTGTGAAGAGTTACTCCATACCCATAACATTTCACTACTATAGTTACCAATTCAGAAGTTAAAAAAAAAAAAAAAATACAGACCAAATCCATGTACCCGTGGATCCTTTGTATCCTAAAATGTAGAAATATTCTTAGTTTTAACCAAGAATTAGATTGGAATGAAGTAAAACATCTTTTAAAGTAATTTTAAGTATACTCTTATTTGTTACTACATTTCTACATAATTATTTAATATTGCTTGTGGATATAATTTAATCGATAATAATATATCATAATGTCAACCATTACAGTGATCCAGAATGAGATTCTGGCTATAGAGGGAGCTTAATTATTAAGCAACACTTTCCTGAAAAGCTTCTGTATTTCTGATTGGTAAGAAAAACAAAAAAAAAGAGCGTCTCTCATTGAAGTAACACTGACGTTCAAGCTCAGGCCCCCTTCTTTGTGTTCAACATAATTAACTCTCTAGGACAAAATAATGAAACATTAAGTCACATTAATAAGTTACGGTCATCTTCAAGAAAACTCGACGGGCAACTCTGGTGTTACAACTGTGTATCTTGGATCCAACTTAGGGATGAAATCCTGAAAGTGTTTAGATGCACCAGTACCAAAAACATCAAGGACTTTTCGGTTCATAACGGCAAATCTGTAAAACAGAGGACACAGGGAACAAGTACTTAATGAAGTTTATAAAAGAAGATGATTCACTCCATTTGACTTATCTTTCATGGGATGGGAAGACCGAAAAGGCTGACATGGCAAAAGACTCAATGGCAGATTCAAAAGTCACTTTGATACTCTTCCTCGAGATTCACTGTCTCGTATTTTCTTTAAAAAAGATGATAATCCCCCAAACTGAAACCCCAGAGATTACCATCATTATTTCAAACCCTTCTAGAATCCTTTCCACTAGATTGTGTCAAATAGAAAAATAGGTTCATTGTGATTTTTCTGATGAATAAAATCACAAGAAGCTAAATGTATAATGAATGCGCTAACATTTACTGACAAGCAAAGGTATTAAACGTAATTCCTCTCATAATTGAAATTTTAACGTCTCACAGTCAACAGAAAATACATCCAAATGTGACTGAAGGGCAAACAGCATATAGGTTTTCAAATTTCTAACAGACACAACATAGTAAAAACACAGCCCTCATTTTATCCATCACCTAACCTAAGAGATATAAAATTTTTAAAAGACATATATTTTAGCTAATGTGCAGGATGGACCTTCTGTGTCTCTGTGCCTGGTCATAAGCCTTTCTTTTCTGGGGAAGATACCCAGGTGAAATTAGTTTTGAGTTATTGGCCAGTATCATTATTCCAAGAGCCAATAAATGTGATTTTCAGATCCTTCCCAAGGTATGTTCCCTTCCGAAATAATCAACTGGTTAAACTCATTGATGTGCAAAGAAACCTGAATGACAAAGAAAGAAATGATTAAATACTAATAATATAGAGGATACACGGTGTCATGGCTAATAGGAAGAACTCCGCAGTCGGACCGCCTGGCTCATATCCTAGCTCCGTCCTTTCCTAGCTCTGTGATTCTGGCAGGCGCTTAACCTCTGCGTGCACCTCAGTTTCCTCACATTGCAAAAGCAAGATGTTAATAGTACCTATCTCACAGAGCTACTTTAAGGATTAAACACATATGTATGTATATGTATGTTGTATGTGTGTATCTTAAAACCAGTTCTCGGACACAGTAAGCACGATACAACTGTTCACTATTACTAATATTAATGAGAGCTGCTATTTACTGAATGCCTACTAGGTGCCTAAAGGCTGCCACAAATATCTCGATTTTCCCACAATGTATTATTGTTTCATTGAAGAGAGAAAGAAACTTGAGGCTCATGATGGTAAAGAATGTTCCCAACCGGTGACACAGCTAAGGGTATCAGAACTGCAGTCAAACCTAGGTCCGTTCAATTCCCAAGCTCATGGTCTTTCTATCAGGTCAACCTGCCTCCCAAAGAATTAGATTATAATCAGGAAATGCTAACAACAACAACAACAATAAAGAATATGATCGTAAAGGCAAAGAAAAGTGTGCTTACAAAGTCAGGCAAAAGAGTATGATTATTTTTCCAAAGTGGAAATCAGTCAATTGTTCAGGCATGATTTCTAATGAATCTGTGTAATGTTTTTAATCAAAAAGAAGAGATTAAAGATTTTAAAAGTGAGACTTAAGAATGTTATATAGTAACCTATCAGCAGTTTGCAAGTCAACATATTAATCTAGAACACTTAAAATATCTAAAATAATATAGGGGAAAAAATAGTCAAAATAATGTGCACTAAAAGAATGCCCCATGTTATTCTTATTAAATTTTAGGTCATATTTGATTTATAGCTAGATACCTACTTTACCACTGAAAGAATATTCCCTCAAGTAAACGAAAAGATTCAAAATCTTTTTTATGGAAATTGCTTTTTTTCTATGACCAGTTAAAACATCTCAGTCACTTACCTGCCCTTGGTGAGCCTTAAAAGGAACTTCCAGTAAGATGGTCGTAAGGTCTGAACTTCCATGACAGCCTAAGATTAGAATATTCAATTTGAGACTTCTTTTAGTAAACAGCAAATATTATCAGCAGTCTTGGGCAACAGAACATATTTGTCTCTATTTTTATTGCTCACTCTATTTAACGACAGTGATGACAGTAGTAACAAAAACATGTATTAATGTTTAAGTGGATAACTCTCAAGAATCTTTGTAAATATGCCTTCAAATAGGAATATTGCTCATGGAATAATAGAGTTAATAGTTATTATCATTGGGAAGCGTTTACTAGGTGCCCATTAGTAGCTGGCACTTCGCTAGTTATAGTAAGTTTACCAACTTGGCAGCGTTACTGTGAGAAGCTGCAAATAAAAGCTGTCCCCCAAACTTTGCAAAAGCCCTAAGACCATTAACATCAATAACGGTGATTGCAGAATTTAAAGAGATTGAACGATGCTTCTATTAAACTAGATTCTACCCCTATCCTCACTGCCTGAGTAATACTGGGGAAAAGCAATTATTCATATTTATGCCCATGCTATCTTTTTTTTGAAGTAAAATTAAGTTAGGGCATTCTAGCCAAGGCACTAGAGTGATAATTCTCCTACAAAAATTGCACTCTACTTAAACCTAAAAATTGTTGTGTTCATAAAACATGACCTAGCCCACTAAGTTAACATGTTTAATGATTTGAAACTTGCAAGCTATCTTGCTAACAAAACAAAAAAAGCATAGAATGTAAAAACTGGAAGTGTTCCCAGGCCTTTATTTTTCCCCCATTGGTTTAATATATACACTAGAAACAGAAATAATTCTATTTCTCATTTGAAAAAGTTATACTTACTGCCTGGAAGCAAATTGCTGTAGAGATGGAATAGATGATAGTGTCTGCATGGGGAAAATAGGGAACCTTTCCTGCTTCAATACCTTTGAAATACATTGTCTGCAAAACAAGCACATAGTGCAAGATTTATAAAGAAAACAACTTTAAATAGCATTACCAATAAGGTGGAGTGATACGTTCCCTATCTACAACTATTTTTTCTACCTTTCAAAATCCTAACAATCCTTTCAGAGCTCAAATCATAGGTACTTCCCTGACATGTTAAGTGTCAGCCCTTCCCTTTCCCTCATTCACTCACCCCAAACCCCAGATGCCAGTAATAATACTTTTCTGTGAAATTCAACAGCACTTTATTTCTACCTCTTTCATGCTATTTATTCTTCACTGCTGTTTGTACAATGCCCAAGTCTTCCCTTCTCTGTTAGATCTATTCATTCATTCATTAAACATGTACTGGTGTAAACCCAATTAGCGCATAAGAAATAACTAACACACTCTAATAAGGTTACAAGATATCTATATTGATTAGATGTGTAGATCATCACATGTGTATGTATGTATATCTATGTTTATCTCATATATATAGAGAGAGAGAGGCTCCCCAGAGGAGGGAGCAACTACTCTGTCTATGACAAAGGACCAAGGAGAATTTCAGAAATGACTACATTGAGTAGTGGGCATCTCAAACCATCTGCAGTGAAGAACCACTTTTTAAAAAACAAAATTTCCAACTATCATGGCCTGATGCTTTTATAATACAATAAAAATGAATTACTAGAATTGAACCAAATTTTCACTATTACATTCAAAAACAAATTACTCCATCGAGTTGCTATAAGGTTTCCAAATGCTTCCTCTCAATTTCTATCCTTTCCTTGTCATGAACTGGTATGGTAATGAACAGTTCATAGACCAGCGCTAGTCTGCTGACCCCACTTTTAATACTGCTGCTTTCTAAGAGGCCTAACATCAACAACTAGATAAGAGAGGAAAAGCAGGGGTAACAAACAGGGTGAAAATACATGACATGTATGGGGAATTTCCAGCAAATTTATATGGATGGAACAAAGGATAATTCATGGAAATGGGTTTTCTGGAACGTAGGGATGCTAAAGTGAAACAAGTAAGAAAAGTGGAAGGATGACCAAGACAGAATGGTGTTTCAATAGGTTGGAGGGAGCTTTAAGAAGACATGAGTGGACCATGAAATAAAGAACATAAAATAATTTTTTTCCAAGAAAAAAGTTGTTTATACAGCTGATTTTTAATTAATATTATGTATTAATATAGCATTTTAATATAAAATTAACTTCAATCCGTAAGATATGTACAAAGAGATTTATAATCTACTTCAGTAACAAGATAAACGTGGGCCATTATTTTGAAAGTTATATGATAATATATTACAAGGTACAGATATACTGTAGTGTATTCCTGTTAACAAAAATGAAATTCAGATGTGGTAGCATGGCATCATAGAAATGTTATGTGAAACAGGTATCTCTTGATATATGGGATCATTATGTTCCTAATTATTTCCTACAATAAAACTTATCTGTTGACCTATAGTCTAAGTTAATGAAGAGTTGGGACTGTATCCTATACTTCTATATGCTTACCAGCACCACCACAGTAATGGGAACATAATCGATACTCAATAAATATGTCTTGGAAATAATTTTTTCCAAGAAAAAAGTTGCCTATACAGGTGATGTTTACTTAAGACGCATTATATAGTAATATATCATTTTAATATAAAATTAACTTCAATCATAGGAAAATGATTGCCTATTATACCATAGTCATTAATTCCACAAAGGACATAGTAAGCTTATACTTCTAATTTCCTGCATTTAAAAAAAAGTTCTCATCAGCACACTTATCAGATACGATCTGTTGATATAAGAAACAGTGATACCACTGCTTGGCTTTAAAACCTCTAGCCATTTAGAGAAACATTTTACAAACTAGATCTCAATGTTGGATGGCCCCTATGTCAAAGAATATATTTTTTGCCAGCTAGGGCAAAAAAATATATTCTCTCACTCCCCTTTTCTTCTCTATTAGCAAGTCCTGCCAACTCTATCTCCTAACCATACACCAAATCTGTGTACTTTTCTCCATCTCTACTGCTACCATCCTGACACAAGCCACCATTTTCTGCCTGAGACTAACGGTTTTCTCCCAGATTCCAGTCTTGCCTCTAATCCATTCTCTATATAATAGCCAGAATATTCTTCTTAAAATGTGAATTAAATCACGTCATTTCCATGCTTAAAGCTCTCCAATGGCTTCCAAAGGCACTGAGAAAAAATAAATGCCTCCTCCCCTGCCTCCTTCTCTCTCTCTCTTTCTGTCTCTCATTTGGATAAAACAAATATGTAATTTTCTTAATGTCATTAGGGACACAGATTTTCAGTGAGATAAAACTTTTTAAAATTCAAACAAGTTAAATAAAATCTATAACCTGAACTTTGAATTGAAAACATCAATGTGCTCCTAATTATTTTCTCTTTCTCTGAAAAGAAAGGGAAAAAAAATAGCATGCTCTAACTCTGTTCACTGGAAAGGCCAAGAAACAATGACTAGCCTAGGAGCAAAAAACCTTTAGCACCCAAACTAAAGTTTTCTAAATACCATTTCTCACCAAAAGAAACTAGGTGCCATTGGAGAAGGCTGATTCTATGTCTGGAGCAGGAAACCACCCAGGTGAGCCTGGAATATCTTGTTTTATCACAAAGCAAGAAAACTATCAAAGATACCGGCATTACGTGAAAAAAGAAACAGGAGTGAACTTGAAGAGGCTCTCATGGCCAAAGATGGGGCAATTTGAGCATAATGACTGCAATAGGTTGAAACAAATCAAATACCTTAAACTCCATAAAGACACCTGACAACAAAGACTTACAGGTCAACTTTGCAGGATGCTAGGGACTAACTCATTCCAAACATTAGCAAATAAAGGGAAGTAATCAAGCACTTTATTATGACTTTGTGAACAGACGATCTCACAGTAACCAAACAGCTGAAAGGGAAAGTTCTTTTTGAAGAATTCCCACTAATAAGTGCAGAAGAAACAATAATATTAGATTATGATGATTCTGCAACCCTCAGTGAAATAATAAACCCTGGTCATTAATGGCTGCTAGAAAAATAGGGTAAAAGATGGGGAACCTTATGTTGGCTCTATCAACACTGAGCCCACTGATCCATCTTAGCATCCCTGGTGGCGCAGTGGTTGAGAGAGAGACAGGGGCTTCCCTGGTGGCGCAGTGGTTGAGAGTCTGCCTGCCGATGCAGGGGACGCGGGTTCGTGCTCCGGTCCGGGAAGATCCCACATGCCGTGGAGTGGCTGGGCCCGTGAGCCATGGCCACTGAGCCTGCGTGTCCGGAGCCTGTGCTCCGCAACGGGAGAGGCCACAACAGTGAGAGGCCCGTGTACCACAAAAAAAAAAAAAAGAGAGAGACAACCCGACATTTTTGTGTTTCCTAATGTGATGTAATAGGAATTCACACACACAGTAAATGTGAAGTTCTTCTGCCACTACCATCCCCCTAAAAGAAACTGAACCTGAACTTGCTTAAGGCTCTAGATCTAATTTACAGTTTACAGACAATACATGAGTTAAAGGAACATGTTATAACACCACCAGTGAGGATGCAATCAGCAAAATCCAGAATGTGGGAAATTCCAAAGAATTAATAACCTAGATTATCAACAAATAAATGGCAAGGAAAAAAAGAAAGGGGGAAGAAAAGAAGAAAGGGTGAGGGATAACTATTATAAACTAAAAAGAGACTTTGGATCTCAACTAAAACAAAGGGATTGCAAAAGACATTTGTGAGGTAATATTGAAAATGCAAGCTCTAATTGGATAACGATAATAATAAAGAATTACCAGGTTTTTAAAATTAATGACATGTATTTTGATTATACCCTGATGGCATTCATGATTTGTTTGTTTTTAAGGAGTCCTTATTCTTTAGTTTTATTTTTTAAGGACTCTTTCTCCTCAGTTGTTTACGGATGAAGTGATTTGATCTCTGGGATTTGTTTTAAAATAACTTGGTACTTGGGGGTTTGGAGCAGTATAGGTGAAAGGAGATTGGCCAAATGCTGTTAACTGTTGAAGCTGTATGATGGGGTACATGAGGGTTATCACATTATTCCTCCTATGCTTGTGTATATTTGAAAATAACACAAAGAAAAAAGAAGAAATAGGAGAACTGACTTTGTAAGTACTTTTATAGGATTAGAATTTGCTTTTGAAACTTTTACTACTAAAGCAGCTAAAAAGCTCTGTATCCTTTGGTTGTATGTGCTTAAAAATGTTTGCTTACCTCTACCAATTTGGAAGCTAAATACATGGAAATTGTTGTGCTTTTATAAAACATCATTGATATTCCCGCCAAAAATCCTGAAACAACAAATAAGGCAAAACTGATCAGAACTCAACGTATTTCTTTGTTATTAAGTCACTCAGAAATGTTGATTCACTTAAATAGGAAAGAACTGATTTGTGGCACTGCCTTTTGTCACAACAAAATCAAGGACAGTAATATAAGTGATGACATTAAAATGGGGTGAATTCTTATTTATTATCACATATTTTTAAACTTAAACATTGACCTTTAGAGTTAGGAACCACAGTTCTGATACACATATCACAAGAAACTACATTCTAAATTTAACTTTTAAAAACAGCAGTGGTCTTGCCAAATACAATGATCTTTTAAAATAATTTTTTAAAGGTTACTGGTACCATTTCTGATCTCAAGTGGAAATAGTCATTCATCTATTCTCCTAACAGCTCAAATTATGTTTAGTGCTGTCATCACACTTCCCTCCATTGCTTTCGTTCTATAAATGGAAAACCAAGGTGGTAGGAGGCCTGGAATACTAATAGTAGGGCTATTACTAATACATATCTGAAAAATTGTCTATTTAACTTAAGTAATACATATACTGAACTCACAGAAAATGTTTAGTTTTTATTTTTATAAAATTACTTGAGTTCCTAAAAAAATTATTATTAAAAAATACATCACTTGCCAGTGGTAAAATCAGAATATTTTAAGAAATCTAACTGCACTTCCACTAGTCACTTATATAATATTTTAAGTCTTTATGTTCTTTTGTGACACATTTTCCCTAGAATTTCTGGCCTGTAGCAGGACAGATACCCGAGTCATTATATTGCCAACCCAAAACATCAGATGGCAAGAGAGCCTTGATACGTTAAACTTCACAAATACAAAATGTTTGTACTAGTGCCTTAATGGGGATTCTATTACAGAGAAGGGAAGATACAAAGAAATCAGATGAATCTGAAAACCATGTCTGCTTCATTCCTACTACTGATTGATGCAATAGTAATATATGTGTTTTATCATTGCTTTACCAGCTATAATGGCATGCAGTTCATCATCCAGATTTCTGACCCAGCGCAGGAAGCAACTAGTACCCTGTATCAAGAAGAAAATACAATGACTTCAGTTGTTTCAGTTCTAGGAAAAAAATGCATGTAACATCTGTAATGGGTGAGTCATTAGCTGACCTTGGAGGCAAATTGGTGATCTTATTTAAATCAAACTGAATATATGATTGGGAAAATTATGAACAGTAACCTGTTATAACGTTACTGTTTGGATAGACCCTATTAAGAAATTATACATAAAATTTTCATTGTAATGATTTTTCAAAATGAATTCAAAAATTCTACTTTTGCTTAGATGTAGAATGCCGGGAAAAGTATCACTCCCATTCTAACAAGGAGAAAAAGCTGGATAAGCTACAACTCTATCAAGTCAGAATCCTATAGTTAGAGAAAACATTTTTCAATATGAAGGTGAAATAAAGACTCTCTCAGAAATTTCGCACCAAGCTGGCGGGTAATCCCCATATCGGTGTGACGTGCTAGCTCGGAAGTGTTTTCTGCTGCTGTCATGGTTCGTCCGCTAAACTGCATCGTTGCTGGGTCCCAGAACATAGAACATCGGCAAGATCGGGGACGAGCCATCGTCAAGAACGGGGACCTGCCCTGGCCCCTGCTCAGGAATGAATACAGGTATTTCCAAAGAATGACCACAACTTCTTCAGTAGAAGGTAAACAGAATTTGGTGATTATGGGTAGGAAGACCTGGTTCTCCATTCCAGAGACGAATCGACCTTTAAAGGACAGAATTAATATAGTTCTCAGTAGAGAACTCAAGGAACCTCCACAGGGAGCTCATTTTCTTGCCAAAAGTCTGGATGATGCCTTAAAACTTATTGAGCAACCAGAATTAACAAATAAAGTGGACATGGTTTGGATAGTGGGACACAGTTCAGTTTACAAGGAAGCCATGAACAGGCCAGGCCATCTTCGACTATTTGTGACAAGGATCATGCAGGAATTTGAAAGTGACACATTTTTTCCAGAAACTGATTTGGAAAAATGTAAACTTCTCCCAGAATATCCAGGTGTTCCTTCTGATGTCCAGGAGGAGAAAGGCATATTTGAAGAATATGAAAAGAACAGTTAATATGAAAGTGTTTTCTGATCTATTTCTGATCTATTTCAAGACTCCTCCTCCCCGCCCGCCCCCAAAAAATTATGTAGTTTTTGTTGTAAAGACTTTTGTTGACTTTAGATCTATGGAAATTATTTCTAAGCAAAGTACCTTTATTCCCCATTAATCTTAACTAGACTGTATCAGATACCATTCGTGAAACATTTCTTGCTGAAACTGCCTGAATGACCATCAAGGGTCAAGAATAGGTTACCAGCACCGGCCTAGGGTAGAATATCTACCAAGACAGCCCAAAGTGGGAGAGTCCCCTGGTAGCATAAGTTGAAACCAGAGCCTATAGAACTAGGAGTTAGGCAGATGGGTCCAAAGGTCAGAAATAGATTATAAATAGAAGAGCTAGCACTCAGTTATTAAAATTAGATCAAAAGAGGGACTGTGAATTACTCTATATCACACTTGTGAAAAATATTCTGTTCACTCAGACCGGGAGTCAATAAGTTGAGAACGCCAGGATATTCCACACGGATAGTAAAGAGGCAGGTATGGCACTACCTTTTCGGTGGTTAAAAGAGAAGGTCTGAGACCTTAAAAGACTTTGTTTCTGATCTTCAGTGAGATTCCATGAGATGTTACAATGATAAAACAAGAAGTGGCTGCTCTTTACAAAAAAGAATAATCTAATATCAAGCATAATGGCTAAAATTAAAAATTCAAGGAGGTAATAAATTGAGAATGAATATTGCTAGAAACCAAAATTAGTAAGTTAGAAACTAAACTTCACAGAATTAAAAAATGAAAATTAAAACATGTTTTACCCATCATGTTAAGCAAAGATTTAGATTAAGTATCCAAAAAAAAAAAGAGCATTTTCTGTCTTATAAATTGGGACAACCTTTTTAGAGTGTAAGTTAGCAATATCAATTAATATTCAAAATATTCTGGGTTTGGACCCAGAACTTGCACTTCTAGAAATTAATTCTGAACAAAGAAATGGACCCAAGAATATTTGTTGCAACATTTTTTTTCAAAGTTGGAAAGAGCCCAAATGTTGATAAATAAGAAATAACTAACCAATATGTCTATAAAATGTAACATCTGCAGCAGTTAAAAAGGACGAAGTACTGACAGAAAAACGCCAAAAATTGCTAAGCAAAAGAAGCAAATTGTGTATAATACTCAAAATGTTTAATAAATGTTAATGTGGGGGGGGGGGACAAAACAAAAAAAAAGACTCTCTCAGACAGACAGAAGCTGAGAAAATGCACCACCTGCAGACCTGCATTACCAGAAATGTTAAAGGTCGTTCTGCAGGCAGAAGGAACAAGATACCAGATAAGAATTTAGGTATAAAAAAAGAGATGAAGAGCTCTGGAAATGGTAAAATGAAGGTAAATTTAGAAGACATGTTTTTCTTACCTTTAATTGTTATAAAAATGAATCAACTGTCTAAAGCAGTGGTCAGAAAACTATGGCCCACTAGGCAAATCTAGCCTGCCACCTGTTTTTACATGGCTCATAAGCTAGAATATTTTTACACCTCTCAATGGATAAAAATAAAAAACAATAATATTTTGTGACATGTGAAAATTATATGAAATTCTAATACAGTGTGCTAAATTTTTATTGGAATACAGCCATGCTCATTCATTTATATATTGTCTATGGCTGCTTTCACACTATAACATCAGAGCTGAATAGTTGTGAGTGAGACCATATGTTCCACAAAGCTTAAAATACCTACTCTTTGGCCCTTTACAGAAAAAGTTTTCTGACTCCTGGTCCAAAACAAAAATAGCAACAGCATATTGTGGGGTTTATAACATATGAAAAGATAAATGAATTGCACAAAGGATGGGAAGGAGGAATTACAAGTATGATGTGGTAAGATTCTTACACTATACTGAAGTGGTATAATATTATTTGAAAATATTGACCAATAAATTAAAAATGTTTATTATAAATATTAAGACAGTCACTAAATTTTAAAAAGACATATAAATAATAAGTCAATAGTGATGACAGATTATAAAAAATACAAAAAAATTAATATAAATTTAAAATACATAAAAAATACCCCCAAAATCAAGGAGACAAAAAAAAAAGAGGAGCAAAGAAAACATGGAACAAATATGAAACAACTAATAAGAAAGTAGATACAAACAGATATAAACTCAACCATATCAATAACTATATTAAATGTAAAGAGTCTAAATACACCAATTAAAAGACAGTGATTACCAAACTGGATACAAAAGTAAGAACCAACTATATGTGGTCTAAAAGAAACCAACCTTTAAACTGAGGTCACAGAAAGATTAAAGAAGGAAAATATACCATCAAATATAATCAAAAGTAGCTATATTAATAGTAGACATAGTAGACTTCAGAACAAGGAATATTACCAGGATAAAGAGGAACATTACAAAATGGAAAAAGGGTCAGTTCATCAAGAAGACACAGAAGAAATAAGGTTTGTTTGCCTGACCTTCTCTTAATTACATTCTTAGGAAGATGCAAAAAATTGATAAATTTTTCAGAAATCACATATGGCTTTGGAACATGCTGTATGAATATTTTTTATAATAGATTTTCTGACCCAGTTGCATTTTCCTTAGTTTAATTACCATTAGTTTATATTACCTAAGCAAATAAGTAGCAAAAATGTAAACAAACAAAAAAGCCTAGGCTCTCAGATATGCTGGATGGTGGAGAATAACAAACCTGGGCTAAAAATGTTGGAGATAATCCACATATAAATATTTAAGGGTTTATCTTAAGAGTAAATACAAACTCTATGACACAAGAAATGAAAAAGAATGTGAATATAAACATATTATCACTAATATTCTGCCCTATTAACTCTTGTATATATTCAAAGATATAAGTAATGCTTCCTAGTCAAACCATATTGAAAATGTTTTCAGTGTTAGTAATATTTCATAACAAGTGATTAATTAACTATAGTTTATAGTTTGCCACTCTTTCCTTTCCATTTCAAAATACTTTCTCCACATCTACCTTTTATAGGTAAACTTTATCATAAAATGAAACACAGCCATCTTATCCAAAATAATTCCAGAGTTCAGTTTTTCCCAGCATTTTCTTTTAACAACTGTGTGTGTGCACATGCACACATGCATGCACATGCATACAGGTCAACCTCAGTTAACACATTTTACCTTTAAATTTTGAATATCAATTTTAGATGTTTAATAAAATATGTCAGTAATATGATTTAGATATTAGTGATTCCCATTAAACAAAAGGCCATTACTTCAAATTGCAGAGTGTTATGTCACAGATGATCCCTATATATGTGTTTAGGTAGGTGCTTATTATATATGTGTGGGTACATTTATAGGAACATGCAGAAAGAGGTGGAAGAATGTTAACTTTGTTTATTTGAGAGAGTACAGTAGAAAGAGTGAGTGAGTGGGAGATGGAAAATAAGTCATTGCTTATATCAGTTACAAGAGAAAATCCTTTTTCTATCAAAGGTTGATATCAGCTAGGAGGGTCTGAAAATGTTTAAATTAATAATCAGGTAGTAAAATTATTCAGAAAAAACAAATAGATACATCACTTTTGATGTTAGAAATATCAGGAAGTTCATATTTTCTCAGTGACTACATTGTTGAAGAAAAGAAAATGAGTTTTTGAAAATCTTTAATATTATGTATAAATGCAAATATATCTACACTTTCAAGCTTTAAGAGAAGAAATATCTCCAGCCTCTATTCCCAACATAATGTGCATATTTGGTGATGAGATATTTACGAATACTACAGAAAGAAGTATTAAAAAAAATGACAGGGCTTCCCTGGTGGCGCAGCGGTTGAGAGTCCACCTGCCGATGCAGGGGACACGGGTTCGTGCCCCGGTCCGGGAAAGATCCCACATGCCGCGGCGCGGCTGGGCCCGTGAGCCATGACCACTGAGCCTGCGCGTCTGAAGCCTGTGCTCCGCAACGGGAGAGGCCGCAACAGTGAGAGGCCCGCGTACGGAAAAAAAAAAAAAAAAACAGATGAGCTAAGGCCGTATCTCATTTTAACAATAGCCATGTTATTTATTTCCCACTTTTCTTTCCTCTTCTGAAAGCCTTACCTTGTATATACTAACAAAAGAGCCCAGAAAAGCTCCGAGCTGGAAGTTTTCTTTATTGTAGAAGAGAGAAAATAGCCGGGATGGCTGTGTAAACAGATGCCTAAATGCAGAGGGAATCCGGAGGCAGCACTGGATCAAGTATCCCACGCTAAACATTCTGATAAAACCCTAGAGAAAATTGGGAGGAAATTCTGATTTACAACCAAATTTTGAAGACAGATAGATGTAAATTTTATTGTTGCAGAATCAAAACGAAACTAAAAATATTAAGACAAGTTTATATCGCAGCCATTTTCAAAATTAAGTCCTAAACCTCAAACAATTTTAAAACAATTGCCTTAAAAATAAGCGTGAAATCTTGCAGCAAACATACTTTCTATGATTTACAAAGTCTTAAAAAGTCTCCCAAGCACTGGCCAAGTCTATCTATGTACCAAACTTCTACTTCTTGACATTTTGTTGACATAACTGGGATTTATAATCCCTAAACCACAAATAGTTTTAGAAACAAAAGCACTGCAATTCCAAAAAAAATAGTTAACAAAACCAAATGCTTTGGGAAATTTTAACAGAAAATGTCTCTTAATCATTAGTTTGAACAGAGATTCTTTTGACAGAAAATAATTGTATTATCTGTTTAGACCTTTGGTGTCAACTATTTAAACAATCAAGTTTAAAGAATTTTCCAGGAAAAGAAATAATTCTATCTAGGTTTTTACTTCTGTGCTCAATGTGTCAAGCTGAAACATCTCTAGGGAATGGCAGCTTTAAGGTAAACTAAAGAAAACCCGAGAAAGCAAATTTGCCACAAATCCACATTTGCTGTCAACATTTCTCCGTATTACCTGCAACTATCTACAGTGTAAAAGGGAGGAAAGGATGACTAATGTTGGTCAATTTCATTTCACTCTTTAGGAAAATGAAGTTTGATGTCACTTAATGGTGAGAGACTGAAAAATTCCAGTCATCTCAAAACAAAATGTTATCAAAAAGAATAGTATTTTATACATGATTCAGCCAATACACTGTAATACTGATCTCCCATCGTCCTCCTCTTTCACCCCCACTGGAATGGAAAAACGTCTACATTCTTAGCAGTGTTTGCTGCTAAGTTTCAAAGGTCAGGTTTGTATCTTCGGTATGGCTGCCTTCTATTTTTTAAAAAAAAAATTGAGTTACTATGAAGAAACATTCATTAATTTACCTGAAACTGCCTAATACCTGGTTAAAACATGAAAATTAAATTGTCCAAACAATTAGCATGAATTATCATGCATTTGCTTAACTGAAACTGCCTAGTGTTTGTTTAATGCACGAGGTGGTCACACCTGTATCTTGTCACTGATAATATCATAATATTAACCTAAGGGTTCAAAGATCACACTCATGTTCAATCATTTCACACTGTTTTCAAGAGATCTATTCATCCTTCCATCAATTCACCCTTTCATGTATTCAGGAAAGATTCAGTGAATGCCTCTCATGTGCTGCTCATCACACTAGATGCTGGGGATAGAGTACTGAGGACACAAAGCTCTTGCCTTCATGGAGCTTCCATGCTCATTAGAGGAAGAGAAAATCAGTAAACAAATAAACATAAAGTAATTACAGATTACAATAAGTGTTGAGAAGGAAGTAATCAGGGCACTGGGAAAGAAATTAACAGGGCATCCTATATTAGACTGAGTGGTAAGGGAAGGCTACTGAGGATGTGACGTTTAAATAGACACAAAAGAGAAGGAGCTGGCATGAGAAAAACATTTTGGGTAGCTTGGACAAAAAGCACAAAGCCAAAAAAGAGATTGGCAGGTATCAACAAAAAGTTCATGTGAATGGAGTATAGTGAGTTGGGGGGAATGTTAATTCATCTGAATATTCACTCAGGGGTATGATTTAACACGAGGTGTAACTGAGTCCATGGAATAATGAGGTGCACTGTCAAAATATTTTGCTATACTTGTGATATAAATTCCTCACCCACAAATCTCCAAATAATTCTACATTCATGGACATAATATAACAATGTATACATAAATTAGCAAGTTTATAGTACTGGTACACGCTTGAAAGAATGACTACATTTTTTCATAGCTCAGTAATTCTCACTAACTTTCTCGTATACTTTTTTTAAAATATCACCTCTCCTCTCCCCAAATTTCTCAAATATCTCTAATTTAGTCAAAATGCTTTTCTTAGTTCCCCTCCTGCAGTTTCCCCCTGAACTAGAATTATGTCCAATTGGAGGGAATAATAACCCTCTCTGGGAGCTTGTAGACTTTGAGGCAGCCAGCAACATTCTTTTTTTTTTTTTTTTTTTTTTCTTTTTTGCCACTTTAAAAATGGGGCAGGAAATCAGATTTGGAAAGAGTGTGTCAGAAACTACTTCACAACTGAAAAAATACTCTACTGCTTTTACCCCTGGTTCTGTCTTTGAGTACTTTAAAGGTAAGTGTTGGCCTGGGTGCGCCACCAACAACACTCGGCCACAGGCATTCACATTCATAGGCACTAATGTGATACAGTCCCTCCCTTTCTAGAGGGACGGTCAGGAGGCTGTCTTTTGGGGTGCTGTACAACTCTGTTCTCATCATCAGTAAAGTGGGGATCAGATGTTGTAAGAAAGAACATAAATTTCTAAAGCATCAGGATTGTTAGAGCACCAGTCAAAACTAAAGAACTTGTAGCAGATGGTGCCACCTGTGACAGACTAACTGCAATGAAAATTAACTTCCTTCTCAGAGTTGGTGGGATGGGGGATGGGGGGCAGTGGCAGGCATGGGATGGGGGATGGGGAGAGAGCACGGCCCTGGTACACTAATATATTAGGGAGTGGGGAATTTATGTCAGTGGGCATAACTAACTTTCTTAATGTAGAACAACTGTGGACATGCTCCAGTTACCGTCATGCCTTAAAAAATGTAACAGCTTTACAAGTCCAAAACCAAATGCCACTGTCCCAGATTGTGCAGTGTATGTGAGTGACTGCTGATCCCCTAGCACACAGCACAGTCCAGGGGCCCTGTTCTAAGATGTATTCTAATGAGGATACATTGCAAAGTACAAATTTTAATTTTAATTTGACTTTTTCTCTTTTTTGTTGTTGTTGCTTCACCTTCTACTTTGCAAGTTTTACATTTATTAAGTAAGCTAATGTAAAAATTATTTAACAAAGGATCTGGTAAGTGAATACTAAAAGCTAAATTGTTATCTATTTCTCACAAGTGTCTTATTCTTCAAGTCAAATGCAAAGAATGATAGCAATGATTGTCAACTTTTCCACTTACTTTGAAATTATGTTTTAATAAATAAGTTTTTTCTATACATATTCCCTGTGGTTATTAAAGTAGATTTTATATACTTACTTTAACGCAATAAGAGATGCAATTATCCTCATAGTGTTTGCAACATCTATGCCTTGGTCCATGCTTACATCTGAAATTAAACCAAAAAAACTAATATAATTAAAATGTGTGTGTATGCGTGCGTGTGGGTGTGTGTTTGTTAATCTGCTTAAAACTCTCTAACCAAAAAAGGAGAAAACATTATCAACTCATTTCTAAATGTGTGCATCTTTTGATTTCTTAGGACATACAGAAGCAAAGCTAACAGATTTTTTTTTCCCTTTGCTGCTCACCATTTGACACACTGTATAAAATACGTGACTGCAGTCAAAATACTTGAATGTGGAACAGAAAAGCCATATTGGTAAATATTTGTGACTAAATATGAAAAATATGTATATGTTATCTCTATACTCTGCCAAATCTTTTGGAAGCTTTAAATTGTTTATTGTAGCGTATAATGGTCATAAATCATCCATGACGTCAGTACTTGAGCAAAAATCATAATGAGAATGTGCTCAGGTTACAGGAATTTATACTTAATTATATTTGAGAGAAAACATCTGGGAAAGAAACATGATATAGTATTAGAATTTAAAATTCAGTTTTTAAAATAAATATAGAAATAGAACATGCAGGAATTCAAAAGTAGGTTGCGATTTAACCGTAAACAACTTAGTCTTCCAGTGTTTAATAAACATTTCTGCTGGGAGGACTACTATTCAAGACACACTTATTTTAGTTATTTGGTATGTCTACTCCAGGACTATTTATTCACTCCAGGCGTAAAAAAGTAAGTAGAATATCTAATATGGGTTTAACTCTCCCCCTTTCTCTTTGAAGAGTTCAGTTCCAAAATAAGCAGTCTTTATAACTCTTTCAGAATACAATTAATTAATGATCTTCATGGTTGGAACACATTAACTCTTTCTTGTTTATGATAATAACTTGCAGAGTGATATCCTAGCTCTCTAATTCCATTTGCAAATTGATTATAAAGACCTCTGAAATTCAATGCTGCACTGCAGCTGGAGTATACAGGCAGCCTTTCCTAGTCAAGGGTGACAGCAATAGTTCATTCCTTATGTCGTTAGAATGATATGACATATCTGGTCATGCGAAGTTGTTGAGTGATTAAAGCTAGGGGCCTGAAAAGGGGTGAATCAGAGAAGGACTGCCTTATGTAAACCATCACTCTTCATACTTCTAAGTGTCCTCTTCAAAGACATCTCTCAGCCATGGCTACCAGAACTAACACAGAAATTATTAAACTCTCTTTGCCAGTGAAGTTAAATTCTGTTATCAACTACACTGTCATTTAATCTTTCCTAGTCTTTCATTAAAATGGCTTCCCAAGTACTGGACTGCCAGTCTCCTATGTCATCTGCTCTGCTTCTATATTATCCTGCACCTGCTTTCACACCAATGGACCCACTGAGGCTACTCTGACAAGTTCTGCCATGGCCCGATCAGCTCTGATACCCAAGGCTTCATTCACCCCCGTCACACATTCTCTGCATTCCCCTATGATTCTTGTTGACATGATTCCCATTAACAGGATCCCCTACATCACACATTCTCTGTATTCCCCTGTGATTCTTGTTGACATGATTCCCATCAACGGGATCCCCTACCACAATTATTACTGCCGTCTACCACCCCTTTCTTTCCTTTTACCTTCTTCTGTGGTGTACAGAAGAAGAGACAAAGTCTTTAAATTCAGTAAAAGTTTTGAGTACCTACTCTGTGCTCGTGTAAGTGAAGCAAACTCCTATGTTATTTCATTTAATGCACGCAACACTCCTTAATAAAGTTAACTGATGAGGACTTTGGGATGTAGAGTGGTTAAATCACTTGTTCAAAGTCCCAAAGCCAGGAGGGGCAAAATGAGTCAAACACAGGTCTTCAGATTTCTTAAACGGCGTCAGCTTCCTGTAGTTGATCCCCTAACTTTCTATACTGCCTCCTTACTCTACACTCTCTAAAATAGCACAACAAGATTATTTTTATTGGCTTGTATTCTAATTTTAAAACTTTAAATTTATTTTCTTAAATATCTTAAATATTTGAAATGCAAATGAAGACTTATCTGTATGAAATAGACTTCTTTGTATAACGTACAAATAAAGATTTCTTATTTTATTTCCAAAGCCCTAAAAATTTCCACTCTTGCAAAATATCCTTCACTTAAACTTTGCTCCTTATTGTATCTATATCTTCTTAAATCTCTCTTGGAATTTTTCTTTCTCCTTTCCACACTTGAAACATTCGATTAGCACATATTAATCTGTTTCCTGAAGTTCCCTACTCTAGCCCCCTGCAACTCTGCTTAGTTTGAAATAGAAAAGTATTTCGATTTCATGTAAAACTATTTTAAAGGCAGATAATGGTCTATAGTCCTGCTAGAAATAATAAACAACATTCACTTGCCATCGTGTGCCTTTTTATAAAACTCTATGCAGTTTCTGGTAAAAAAAAAAAAAATTATTACCTGAAAAGAAAACAAAAATACCTTGGCATGGTACAAATGTTATATAAAATGGTGACAAAATGTGCTAAAATATCAAGATAAAGAACTCACACTGAATCCACAAGCTTCCTGACTAGAGCAATTATATTCGTTCCTCTTGGTTTTTCCTCATGTTTCTCAGTCTTTTGTTCCACTTTTGCATATGCCGCCTCTGGTGAATAAGAATGTGTGGGAATTTCTTCCTTCCCAACAATGAACCTAAAGAAAAGAGCACAATGAGAGGCATTTTTCCCCTTAAAAAAAGAAAATCAGTGAGAAAATAAACTGATTTTGTTTATATACAAATACACTGTGGACAGTACCTTATCATTTGAAATAATATTTTCCACAATTTATATAAAACTAGTCATCCTTTAAAAAATAGGCTTTTGAAATCTGAATACTCGGAAAATGTTAATAGCTGTTTATTTAACAGTGCAGGCATCTTAAAATCAAATACAGCATAGCTCTTTGATGAAACACCCTTTTAACTTAGGTCACCGCTTTTTTAAGGTATTACACAACTTAAAAGTTTTTTCAAACAAAAAGGCAGATGAACTATTAACTTGGATCTACTCGTTAATGACAAAATTGCTATTATTTTCTCTAAAATGTACTAACAATTACAATTGAATGCATTTCTCATTTTTTTACTCTAAATTTATACCTAACGTCACTTTGAGTCATAAAACAGCTGCAGTACAGTAGGTGGTCATCTATATGCACATGAGAAATAGAGGGAACTAAAGAATGAGAATCAGAAAGTGGTTAAGAGTCTGTGTGTCTTCCCCACATTATTAGAAAATCTTAAATTTGATGTTATTCTAATCTACTTACTTCTCTTTGGAAAAATCTAATATCCAGGAGAAGACACCATTCCTCTATCGTCAAAACTGGACTATATTTTTCCAAAGACAATACAAAGAAAACATTACCAACCATTAGATATCACTCAATCAGTATCCTTTATCAGAATTTTCATTTTTGCTGTTTTCACCTTCACTATAAGAGTCAGTGCTCTTATAAAGAATAACTAAGCTTTCCTTAGCCAATTCTGCTTGCTGAACCTTCAGAAAATATCACAAAACATAGATAAAACAGGAGACCAATAACACTACACTAAAATTCTAGAACATGGGAACTCTGGCAAATTTAAATACTCGTAAAAGAGAGAAAAATTGTTACTATCAACAATTGCAACCCATCTCATTAGGACAAACTTGATAAAACATCTAGTTTACCAAATTGTAAGGGGCGTGCAACGAGATTGTTTGTCACCAGATGGCAGCTGTGCCTCCTTGGTAACTGCTGGTCCAAAAGAATTTGGTTCCTAATCGTGGGTGTGAATGGTGCTCTTTATAAACAAGGTAAAACTATGCTAGAACAGATACAATATCTCTCATACCTTTCCTAACACTGAAAGGAAAGTGTTGCTATTTTGGCCAGGACCTACCATTCGGATTAGAGCTCACTTCCTTGGAGAAGCTGTCCCTGCCCCAAGCTGGAGTGAGTGAGCCATCCTTCCTTTGTGCTCTCACAGCCCAGTGATCCCCCAGTACTGGAAGCACCTTTTTAGTAGTTTCCCTGCCCCACTAAACTGTGGGATCTGTGAGACTATAGATACCTTCTTTGTTATTATATCCCAGTGCCTGGCACATAATAAATATTTAGTTATTTATTATGCCGGGCACATAATAAATATTTAATTAATACCTAGCAAAGGAATATCGTAATAGTGAGCATTTTCTGAGCATTTACTACATGACAGGCACAGCACTGAGCCTTGGGCAAAGATTAAATCATTTAACCCTCATAGCAAAACACTATGAAGTAGGTACCATACTTTCCATGACAGTTAACATGAAAAGGCATCTTGTCCACAGTCAAAAATATCAGCAATTATTTGAACCCAGAACTGTTTAACTCTAAGGCCTGGGGTCTTAGTCACCAAACTTTGTACATTATTAACTATGTTTTAAACTACGATGAATCAGCCTTAGTCTACCTTCAGATTCCTGCACTGGCTCTTCTCCCGTGGTTCTCTCCTTGACTCTTTCTATTCCCCTAACTTCCACTATTATCTTACAGAACTAGCAAGAGTGAATAACTATTTTTCCAGAATATTTTCCTGTAACACAGAGAAAATGTTAAGTGCAAAGAGTCCAAGTCAGCTCTTCATTATAAGTGGATTTGAAGAAAACATATGCAAATATCTGACACATTCTGAGTTTTGGCAAGGATTCTGGGAGTCTAAGGAAAGATGCAGGAACAATGGCAGAGTTTTCTCTTTAGGAAAACCAACTTTTGATTTTGTCACCAACTTTCAGTTTAAGTTGAAACTTAATTTCAGTGAAACTTAATTCACTTAATTTAATTAATTAAACTTAATTAATTTAATTAAGTTTAATTAATTAAACTTGATTTAAGTGAAACTTAATTCACTTAATCTGTGAATGCAACAACAACAAAAAGCTATTTTCTAATAAGTTTCATGATCTTTTAATGAAAAATATGACATGAAGAAATTACTGCTGTGTGTTATGATTTAGTTATCATTACCAAAGAATTTCCACAACCGAAAATACTCTATTCAATAATAGAGAAAGTTTAATTTCCTAATGTATGTGAAAATGTTTGGTGAAATATAAAATTCAACACTAATGCTAACCAACATCTCTACAGTATCGACCACGTGCCAATTACTGTGATAAGAGATGGGCTACGAGGTGAAAAGAAGACTCCGGTGACTCTAGTGAAGCCTATAATACAAAATGTGTTTGACAATGCACGAGTCCTGCCCTAACAAAGCCCGTAATCTGGTACCACACAATTAAGGGCTTCATTTTCCAGTAATTGTTCATGTGTAGCTTTGTCTTTCCAAGCTCCATAAACAGAGAGTTCTTGTAATCTTCTTTAATACCCCATACTGTAAGGCACATAACAGGCCCCCCAAATAGTGGCTGACTGACTGATTTTTAGGGGGAAAATTAACAAATTACTCTGTTAATGAAATGTCCACAAAGCCACTTTTGTGACTTTTAAAATTGCTTGCAACTTAAATAGTGGAGTCAATAAATATTTATTACAATTATGTACGATGATATTACTTTTTAAAAAAAACTTGTAAATTCTCTTAACATAAAGATAAATAAAATATGCAACTTACCTAAGTGCAGAGAATGTAAATCCTTTCAAACCATCTTTGCACCTAAAACAATAGAAATTTACAATGATAAAATAACTTGTTTTGAGATATAAAGTAGTAGTATTAAATAGCTATTAAATTTTTTCCTGCAAATGATTTTCTTTTAAAGGTGAAACTCTTTTAGGACGATGATCTGAGCAGTACAAATGGTCAAACAAACAACAAACAATGAACAAGCCATCTTACACAAAATGATTAAAATGATAATGCCTTCCCATGTCGTATTAACATAATTTAAGGCTCAATTCTCAGATTTGCAGGTTGAAGAGAGATTTAAAGTAAATCTTCTAAGGGATCCATGTGGACTTAAAATGAAGGCTGGGAGCGGAGTATTCTTCATTCTAGCCAATCCCTGGGGGAGCAATTTGTCGCGAAGAGAAAGACCACATACACCTGCTGGGTATTATGTACAGGTCAATTCAAGGTCCTGACTTCTCCCTATTTATTAATTCAGTGGATGCAGAGCAATGTAGAGTTGGCAGGCACAAAAAGGCTTCAAGTTTAGTTAACAATTTTAACTTCTGAGTAAACCCAATCAGAACAGATAATGTAGCAAGAGGAATAGGGGGTGGAGGAGGAGAGCACAGAGAGAAGATTCCAAATATTATTGAGTGCTTACTATTGCTGGGCATTGTTTTGGGCCCTTTATATGTGTCGTCTCATTCAATTATACCACAACTCTTATGCATAGGTGTTTCTCTACTCCACAGCTGTGCAGAGGCCCCCCAGATGTGGTAACTTCCCTGAGGTCACAAAATAAATAGTAGTCAGAATTCAGGAAAAACAAAAAAATGACTTCATCTGACTTAAAAGTTATGGTTTTCTCTTATACCTCCTCCTAAAACAGTGTATTCCTTTTAACTGGGGAAGACTCAAACTACATGGCAACTGGGGTAGGGGGGAGGGGGGGATTCTCACATCTGCAAAAAGTATTTAAACAAGATTTTAAAATGGGGGCGTTACTATCCTGGTCTTAATGGTCTGCTCTATAGGTATGATCAAGTTACTAGAGAATCTTTGGGTATCTAGTGTCAAAATTCCTTGGAGAAACTATAAAGATTGGTGATATAATGATGCTCTAACATATGTTAATATTAGACACTGGATATTCTCGGACAAAAAGTATAGCCTTAAATCTAACTGGACAATTCTTTCTGTATGCCTTTTATATGAAAGGTCACAAAGGAAATGAACAAAAATATAAGAAATCTATCTAAAAATTTTTAAATATACATTTTTATTGGAGGACATATAGAATCTCAGGGAAAAACTTAATCCATGTGCACTGAGATGTTTTAAAGCACTTAAGAATTCAATTAAGCAACATAATCTACTTTGTGGTCATGTTAACAGTGAGAATGTAACCAGAGAATTTAGCTAACATACTATATAATTATCTACTCTGTATAGAATGAGGACAAAGGCAAAATAATTCATATGTTAAACTTAAAGCGTGCGTGGGAAAATTATAGCATTAAAATTCTTAAAGTTATCTGTTTCCATCTGAAGAAAGTGTTTCTCAGTAATTTAAAACCCATAACTGAGTAATTTCTAGATAGGTGGGGTGGTGAGGGGTTAGGCTGGGAGTCTATTGACTAGAAAACAGAAAGCAGATTGATTAAAAGATTATGTACAACTGGGAACAAATTTTGGCTCTGGTATGTTATTGTTAAAAGATAGCCATTTGTCTTTGTGCAATGCTGAATAGATAAAGGATTCTGACAACTTGGTCTGGTCATGATTGCATATTTGTGACCTTAAACAATAAATCTAACTGCAGACCAAACATCAAAAAGTAGCTTTCAAATATAAAAGGGCATCTACAAATGAATCTGCAATTTCATTATGATGGAAGTTTGGTTCTTTCAGCAGAACCCTGTGGGAAGCACTTCATATTGATAAAGTCTTAGCATGGATTCAAAAGGGGCTATTCTTCTTTCCATTCATGTGTATAAGGTCTGTTAATGTAATTGAGGGTCAGATGTCTATGTCAAAAGGACAAAAAAGTAATTATTCCCAGAAAAAGAAACTTTAAAATAGTAATACTGCCCTGCATTTTGACACCGAAAGTATTGTCTGAGCCCTAATCTAACTATGAAACACTATTGTAATCTGTGTTAAATGTAAAAAGTATGATATAAACATAAAGATTTATCCAAAACAGAGCCCATTAAAAGGTGCCTCACTATTTGATGGATTCCGTTATTATAATGTAAATCAAATCACATTCTCCATTCATGTATTAAGGCTCGCTGATTTATTCAACAAATATTGACGGAGTGCCTACTATGTGCAAGCACTGGTTTAGGTTCTAAGGATGTAACAGTGGACAATACAGAATCTCTGCTTGCATACCACTGACATTCTAGAAGGGGGAGAGATAGGATAAAAAAAAAAGTAAGTATGTCATGTAGTGATAACTGCTATGGAAAAAAGCAAAGCAGGACGAGGGGAGAAACAGTGATCAGGTTGGGCCTTTTGTTTGTTTGTTTTTAACATAGTGTAGTCAGGAAGGGCCTCTCTGAGAAGGTGGAATTTGGTAATTTGAACAGAAACCTTACTGAATTGAGGGAAGGGCATTTCAGTCTGAAGGAAGAGCAAGCACAAAGCCCTTGATAAGGAATCTGCATGGCATGTAAGGAGAACAGCAAGTGCATTACTGCAGCTGGAGGGAAGCAGTGGTAGGAAATGAGGTCACAGTAATAGCTGTGGAGGGAGCCAGTGGTCTACAATTCCTGTAGGCCCTGTAGGCATGATAAGGACTTGGGAAGGTTCTCAGCAGAGAAGTGACAAGATCTGTCTTAAATTTTAAGATAATCACTTTGCTGGTTTGAAAACAGACTACAGGAGGGCAAGGTTAGAAGCAAAGAGGCTTATTAGGAGGAGAAATGACTGTGCCTGGACTAGATCACAGTGGCAGAGGTGGAGGGGAGTGGTAAGACTCTGAACGTATTTCAAAAGCAGAACTGGTGGAATTTCTTGATAGTTTGAATGTGGGGTACAAGAGAGAATTTACAAATTATTAAAATATTTTGGGTTTGAACAAATGGAGGGATACAATATCCATTTATTGAAGTGAGAAAGACTACAAAAGAAACAGGTTTGAGGAGAAAAATCAAAGTTTTGTTTTAGATATGTTAAGCTTGAGATGCATGTGAGCTATAAATGGAAATATTAAGGAAGCAAGCAGCTGGCTATATAGATGTGGGTTCAAGGGAGAGGTCTGATTCGTTTATAAGTAGTACTTAAATCCATGGGACTAGATACAATCAGCTAGGAATTAAGTGTTAATAAAGAAAATAGTCAAGGACTGAGTATTTTTTATTCCATCATAACCTGTAATGCAGAAAATCTTTTCTATAAAAGAAAAAAAATAATTTCTCCTAATAAATCCATTCTCTAATATAAAGTCTCATTTTAATTTTTGAGTATACATAAAAATAATGCATTTAACTCATGTAGACATAAACTTTCCTATTAAAGTCAGTCTATGCAAATGACATAAATAACTAGTATGACTCAATCCACAGTTACTGAATCTCTACATTTGCAATGTTCTGTGCTATGTATGATATAAAACAAAGCCAGGAGAGACAAAGAGGAAAAAGAATTTGCAGCATTATTTCAAACAACTTAGCTGATAAGCAACTAATCATAGAGAGTCAGGTTGGAATTACATATTATATACAAGAAAGTATAAAGAAGTTTAACATTATTATTAGAATAATACTCTTGGTCAATGCCAGTGGGAGAGAACCCAATAAGATAATTTTTTTTCAATTAGAAATATAAATGATAGTAAAATGAACAATTTTGCCCCAAAAGATTCTTTATCTCATTCTTAATTTCCATGAGATACTTCCACCTTTATCACAACATTGCACCAGCAGATGTCACTAGTAAGCCATTTTTGGAAAAATTTCTGGCTCTTTGATGTGGTTTCTATATCAAACATTTTGTTGCACATTTTCGTTTAAAAACAAATTCATAGGCATTCAAAATATGAATTTTGAATAAATTTTAGTTAAACTGCATTAAATTCCCCGAAGTAAATATCATAAATATGAGACTTTTAACGATAGGTGACATTCCTGTTCCTATTATTGCATATAGTTATAAAATCTCTAAGAACACCCTACCATTTGGCACCAACATAGAATTTGATGATGTAAATGTGCTGCTTTATTATATGCTTTCCAGTAACCTGAAAACTCTGAGAACTATTTTGACTCCTAAAATGTTTTTGTTTAGTCAGTTTTCATTTATTTGGTAAATATAATAGATATAAAAAATGTACTTTTATAAATCTCCTTTTACATATTTCTAAGGCAGTGCATGATGCTATGGAAAAACTCTTGATATGAACAATGAAACAGATACTAGTCATAAGTTCCCTATCAACCTAGAGCAAATCACTTAATTTAAGGGCTTAATCTCACAGCCTCCTAAAAAAGAGCCTGGAAGTAAATGACCTCCATAACTGGCTCATTAAATGATTTCTAATTCTGAAATTTCATCACTTACTATAATTGTATTTAATGATACTATTATTATTTGAAATAATAATGGAAAATAAAAGAATTATTCTAAAATCACTCATAGATAATGATCTCACTGATGTCAAGAATTTTTTTAAAAAATAGTAACATACAAACAAAACCCTGAATTTGTTTTGAGATTACTGGCTGCTACTAATATTATTTCATTTGCTTATTGCTTTATAAAACTTAGACATGGAACTTATTCCTGGCAAAGGTTCAAAGACAACCTTTTTCTTTTTTTTTTTGAAATTAAAGCCTTTCCACTTTTATTGGCATTGATAAATAATATCAATCAATTCACTGACAATACAAGTCTTTGAAATACCTTTTGCTGGGCAGGGGGATAGGACTTATTCATCTAATTAGGCACGTATCTCCATTTTAGAAATAAAATATTTTGCATATATTTTTCTTTGTAATTAAATCTAAAAAAACTGTAGAATTGGGGAAAATAGCCTTTAT